ACCGCGCTACCGGGCAACCGGGCTACCGGGGGCCGGAGGGGGGGCTACCGGGCTACTGCGTCCTAGGGCTCCCGCGATACCGGGGTTCGGTGCGGGTCTACTCTGACAGTGATATCGAACCGGGGTCGGGGGTCCGGGTCTCCCCTTCGGGGAGCCCCGGCCCCCCTCCCCCGGTGGCCGTTTTCCCCGATATTCCCCCGTTTTCCCGGTATTCCCGTTTTTCCGTTTTTCGTATTTTACCGCGGTAGCGCGGTAGCCCGCCCACTTCCTTGTTTTTGTCACATGACTAAAAACAAGTCACATGACTAAAAACAAACCAATGAGAATCTAAACTAAATCAGACTCAACCAAATATCTTAAAGATTTAGGGGGGAGGGGGGCGGCGGCACGGAGCTACCGGGATAGCGGGATACCGGGCTACCGGTGCCGGGGTCCGGTAGGGGGCTACCGGTAGGGGATGCCGAGTGCCAACGTACGTAATAATCTGAGAAAAATGATTCTTTTCCAAGGTTTTCAACTTGCACAGCCACAGAGACTGCAATTATATAGCTGTGTATATATATTTATGGGACGTGCGGTCATCCTCACAAGACAAAACATACGATGACATATTATTATTTGTCCGCCGATCTTTATGTATGACTAATTGCGATAATTTGAATTGTCAAAATCGCTGAAATTGCACATTTTCTGTTGAAATACGGGCTGAAACCTCTGATTGCGCAATCCATCCCAAACTGGGCAGTTGGTGTCTGTCGGCGTATCGCTGCATGTCGCCAATATAATGTTTGCATATACGTTTCTATAGCCTGATTTTTCAGTCTGGCTAATGTCTCAACGCGGCGTCTACGTGTAGATGTTTATGACATTACAGGATCTAAATCACTGTATTTTGTGTTACCTTTAAATATGTCCGACTTGAAAATACAACTGTTGAAGGCAGTACGAACAGACCAACCACCGTGCAGCACTAAGTTACACAAAAAGCATTTTTTTGTGCCTAACTTACTTCCATTGAATGCAGCGTTTTATTATAATAATAATCACACACAGTATATGTAATTTTAAATTCGCTGATTTTTATTTGAAATAATCTGAAAGGGTATAT